CCGAATCCGATGATCGTGGGTTCTAATCCTAGATTTGCCCTGGTTTTGTTTCTAGGATTGTCAGCACCATACCATGCTCACAGGTGTGGTGCCCTCTTTGTTCTGACCCTTACTTGCCTGCCTGCCCTAATATCTCTCTATTTAAGCAGGGACCACTGGCATAAGGTGACCAGTGCTACGACTATATCTCTCATACTTAGATTTGCAATGGTCGTATTACATTCCCTTTATGCAAGTGGTCCCCATACGTAATTTATATAACAATGTTGTATGTGCATTTTTGTACTGCATTTAGGAGTCGTTGTTGTCTTTTTATGGCTTTATGTATTTATTTACTGTTACTATGACATGGAAGGCACCAACTATCTCACGGGGCTGTCTGTGCATGACCCAGCTGATATGACTCGTATCACACCTGCTGCCAAGGGAGTACACTACTCTAGCAAGTGGAATCTCGTATTTCCCTTTTAGCAAAACACTGCCAGTTTCATGAAGCTAATTCCATGCAATAAAAAATCTTGTGTCAGGCAACCATCAATTTCTTTTCAGTGGTAGAAGAAGCCTGACGTTTTCTGACCATTCTTTACGAAATATTTAACAGAATACTTAGCACCTTCTGTATGGCTGTGATATGTATCTAGATGAGTGTTGTCATGGTGACATGGCAGAATAGTCGTTGTGAGTTATTTTTTTAATTTATCATTCTTTGAGTATTCAAGTTCTGTTGTACAAGACGTGAGCCAAGCTGAGGCGACTGTGTATAGAAGCTGATGAAAACGTTCTTTTATTTCTGATTGAATTTGAATGTTATATTTTATAATCGTGTGATAACTTGATTTGCTGTATCTGACTGTTGTATAAATCCTCCAGGAAATACCTTGGTAAGGAGTTGTACGTTGTGTGTTGGTGTGCTTTGTACCTTTCTTCAACACACCAGTGGGCAAGCGGGCACCATTAAGTTCCGACTCTTCTGTGTGAGGACTGACTGAACCGTCATGCTAGACAACAAATTAAACACAAATAAAAACTCCAAATGTTAAGTCACTTGAGTTGTGTTTTCTTTGGGGATTCGACCACCTCCCTGGTCTAGTGGTAGAGCGTCTGCCCGGAGAGCGGAAGGTCCGGGGTTCGATCCCCGACCGCGTCATACCAAAAGATATTAAAAGATGGTACTTGTTGTTACCCTGTCTGGCGCTCGACATTAAGTGGCTAAAACAAGGACTGGTCGGCTCGGAGTCAGTATACTGTGTCTGAGTGGGGTATTCATGTTAAACTGCGGCATGGTATCTCAGTGAGCTAGCACTATAAATCGGCATCAGTCCGAACTAGTACAAGCAGCCACACAAACACACACACGTACATGCACGTCGCTATATAAGTGCAATAATCTTGGACGCGACGATAAACCCCATTTCACCTCACCTCATCTCACCATCTTTGGGGATTCAGAGACAGAATAGGTCCCAGTGCTTGTCTTAAGATCAAGTGTTTTAGACTCGGTGACTTTGGCGTGTTGGGGTGCCATTAGCAATATTCCATCAAGGTGGAGGACACAAGAAATGGGCGTCGCTCATTGTACTCAACTGGAGTGTCGAACCCGGACTTCAGCATACGAATAAATGCTTTAACCCCTATGCTACCCCACCACCAATGGTTTGGGTCTTTGTTGATTCTGTTACTGCTTTGTCCTAAAGTAAATGTTGTAGTGTATGCACTATAGAGAAACATACCTCATACATGTATGCACAATGCAGAAACGTACCCCAAACATGTATGCACTATGCAGCAAATAGGAAATGAGACTGCCAAAATATAAGTGATGTAATGTAAGTAAAACGAAGACAAACTACATATGATCACGTTTTCCTATTAATGGAAACCAGTTTTGTAAATTTCAGGGTACATTTCCTGTATCCTGTTTTTGACCAGGGTACATGTCTGAAGTAACCATGCCACTGAGTGAGTGAATTGCTGGTCCAAACTTGATATAAAGAAATACAAAGGAACAAGCACCAGGTTAATTACAAACCATCATGATGTAAGTGGAACATTACTGACTGAAGTACTGATATAAGAAATATACAACAATAAACATGATGAAATATAGGTTTATTCATAAATCATTGCACCTGATGGACAGGATGAGGGGCCCAACCAGTACCCTCTCACGTCACAACAAAACTTCTACATACAGTGCCTTCCCGAGCAGCCTTGTTATAATGTTGTGAGAGGAAACTAGATGGTGCCTGTATGTTAACAGGGTCACGATGATCAATGTGGGACAGGCAGCGATAATACTGTACATCATCACAACAGCCCTACATCCTACAGCAGCTGCTGTGGTGACAGCAACAAAATGTCTCGGGGGAGGGGTGGGGGGGCGTGGGGAAGAGAAACAGGGAGTTGCAAGTATTTGAAACTTGTAATATCTATCACGAATGCTTAAGTCTACATATGAGGCGAAACATTTTCATTTTCCTGTTAAATATCACCCACCAAAAGCACAAAAGATTTGTGATTTTAGGCTTCTTGTGTTCTGGATGTTATTTCATACAACACAGAACAAAATACAACTGATAGAAATGATAACCGTTGTCTAAATGACTGACCACTGAAGAGAAATTCTCAGCTGAAACTGCTCAAGTAGAAACAGCTTGTGAATGAGGAAAATCCAGAAATCCAATCAACCAAAATATAAAAAATATATGAGAAAATGACAAAAAGGAGGAGGATCATGTTTACAAAGAGGGAGGGGCATGTTTACAAAGGGGGAGGGGCATGTTTACAAAGAGGAGGGGCATGTTTACAAAGAGGAGGGGCATGTTTTACCAAGGGGGAGGGGCATGTTTACAAAGGGGAGGGGCATGTTTACAAATAGGAGGGGAATGTTTACAAAGGGGGAGGGGCCTGTTTACAAAGAGGTCAGGGGACTTCTCTGATATAACAGTGTTGAAGTGTCACTGACAGATCAGTTTTAATAAGTTTTTAGGACTATCATGATCCTATAAGTGTTACCCTCGAAGTAAAAAATGAAACCAGTTTCCCTCAAATCATTTTTGGGTGTGTTATTGCATTTTCCCGCTTTTCACAAATATTAATTATTTTTATCTTTTTCTACATTATATTTGTGGAATCGGTATTATACCCCCCAAAAACATAGAGCACAGACCTCATGCTTTATATTGCAGGACCACAGGATACTGCCCAGATGACAGTTTCAACATTAAGTAAAAGAAACACTATGATACATTTCTTCATGTTGTTTCCCTCTGTAAGGTATAAATGAAATATTTCAGTACCACGATCAAACACTGAATAACACACAGCATGAAAACAACTCTACTAGCAACCGCCCGACTCAATCTTCACAGTTCCTTCATACTTCAAAAGCAAACAAACCTTCTGGTGTTGGCAATAGAATAACCTGAATTACACAGATAACGATGCAACAAGCAGCAATCAACCAACACAAAAACAAGGCGAGATATCTATTGCACGCAACCTCTGACAAGAGTTCTCTCCCCCTTGTCCTTAAGGGATGCTCAATCTGACTTCAACATTGAAACGACCACACACACTGAATTATTTGACAGTGCATCTTGTACGCTCCATGAAATTCTGCCTTCATACACAAGGGACCATTCATTATTTGTGGATTGGGGGACGATGATTTCCAGTTAAATCATGCAGCAAAAAAAAATCTCCAACCCTGTAATATTCTCAAGTCACAGAGTAGTGTCCCCTCTGTACAAAATTACCCCCCATCCAAAGTTTGAAGTGATTAGTAATGAGTTTCCGATGTGTCATGATATGTACAGCTATTTCTCCCGACCACACACCTGATATGAAGTGAGGCAATGATATGAACAAGCAGCTTCGCATAAATACATACATAACATTAAACACAGGCTTAAAGTCCTTGAATTATATCAACATGCACATTAAAAACTCTTGGCTGAAAAGTTATTTACACAAACAGAGTTGCATCAAGAAGCATTGTTCTATCTTCCCCAGGTAAGGGCATTAACTGACTGAATAAGTCCAGTTTCCACCCTTGCCTAACTAGGCTGGAATTTCCAGGCTCGGTCGGAATGCCACCAATGGCTATTACGAGTTATGTCTCTTCTATGTCCCTCCTTTTGACCAATCAGATTCCACCTCTCATATCACATGCATTTGCTTCAAACAAAATGGCCGTGTCCAATCAAGACAATCTGATCAACATATCAAAATCAATATTGTAATAAAACGAGTCTTACCCCACGAGGTGTATCAAATAACTTAAGTACCTTGATTAAAAGCATGAAATGATATGCAAAATATCTGTTAATGCCCAGATGTTTTGCAAATCCTGAAATCTGCATGCTGATTACCAACTGAATGTCTGGTTGGTCACACGATTTTGATTGGACAATGCATAGAGTGAGTGAGTGAGTATGGTTTTACGCCACTTTTAGCAATATTCCAGCAATATCACGGCGGGGGACACCAGAAATGGGCTTCACACATTGTACCCATGTTGGGAATCGAACCGGGGTCTTCGGCGTGACGAGCAAACGCTTTAACCACTAGGCTTTCCGACCGCCCCGACAATGCATAGACTCATCAGTCCAGCCAAAATGCAACTCTAAAATTCCAGCCTAGTTCAGCAAGGGTGGAAACTGGACTTTTATCGTCAGTTAACTCACTTCCACCCAGGGCCACACAGCAGTCAGCAGGTGCTTGACAAGCTCAGATCACGGCAACACAAAGTAGAGCCCTCAAGTACAACAACAGCATCTTATGTCCTCAACAATAATTATCTGATAATAAAAACTGCTTGTTGAAATTATGGAACAAGTCGGTTGTTCTATCTCATATGATGCACCTCCGAAAAAGTCTTATCAATATGACAGAACTGAAGACTGTGTGAATACCTTAATATCAGGAACCGAGGAGCTCGGTGCAACAGAACAAGTCAATTGCCTACTGATGTGGGAATACAGATGGAGATGCTATTTCTCAGCATTCACCCAAAATGTCAGATTATCATCTACCTGTAGAAATTAAGGTAAGCTAACATCTACCTAAAGAATCAAGGTAAGCTAATATCACCTGTAGAATCAAGGTAAGCTAACATCTACCTGAAGAATCAAGGTAAGCTAACATTACCTGTAGAATCAAGGTAAGCTAACATCACCTGTAGAATCAAGGTAAGCTAACATCTACCTGTAGAATCAAGGTAAGTTGACATCTACCTGAAGAATCAAGGTAAGCTAACATTACCTGTAGAATCAAGGTAAGCTAACATCTACCTGTAGAATGAAGGTAAGCTAACATTTCCTGTAGAATCAAGGTAAGCTAACATCACCTGTAGAATCAAGGTAAGCTAACATCTACCTGTAGAATGAAGGTAAGCTAACATTTCCTGTAGAATCAAGGTAAGCTAACATTACCTGTAGAAGCCAGGTAAGCTAACATCTACCTGAAGAATCAAGGTACTGTATTTTCTTGAGTATAGTGCACAATTTTTTTCCAAAAAATACAGCTGTGCAGAAGGAGGTGCGCATTATACACGCAATAATGAGTTTTGATGGTTTTTCCCCCCCTGGAAAGACATTACCTGTGAGCACGTAACACCGGAAATACCATGTCAACAAATCCATACTGAAGTATGCAAATTAATCATGTAATCACACACTCTGGCTATAAAAAGTGTTCTTTGTATACCTGGACTTATGTTTGTAACTTATTTCATAAATTTTATTAAAAATTCCTTTTAATATTGTTTTAATTAATTTCGGCGAAATCGTGTGTGAAGCGATCGGAAGATTGCACAACTCACCGTTATAACCACATCCACAAACAGATTACCGCTATATGTCAACATGTAGTTCTCGAGATCACGTGCACAGGAGCCTCGACGGTGACTGGTCAAACTGGTTCCATGTGAAAAATGATAACCGGCAATAGCGATCAGCTGCTTCGCTTAGGGTTATAATTATTTTTAATATACATTATTTAGTAAAAACTGCGGCTAAAATAACAAGATATTATTCCTGATAAAAAAAAAATAGTTTCAGATACAGTTTTCCCGATCCTTGCATTAAAACAATGTAAAGTTATATCATTGGGTGTGTCTTGACCGAATCACCGGTAGATTCCAAGAAAACGTGTGTACAGCTGATTGCTGTTTCCGGCTTAGTTTACAAGAAATTTCACAAGGTATTCTTAATCCCTGGATGTAAAACAATGCCTAGCAGAACAAAAAATACAACTTAAACGGTAAATCAACATGTCTGGTGATTTTTTTATCTCTATTTTCAAATTTGTACTGACCAAGTTTCTCATCACCCGTTCATTTACCAGAATTTGGTGAAGGCATACAGTGTAATTATTTTTCTGCGCATAATATTTGAATTATTTTTTTTCAAAGTACTGAATCCGCTAGAGGGGGGTGCACATTATACTCAAGAAAATATGGTAAGCTAACATCACCTGCAGAATCAAGGTAAGCCAACATTACCTGTAGAATCAAGGTAAGCCAACATTACCTGTAGAATCAAGGTAAGCTAACATCTACCTGTAGAATCAAGGTAAGCTAACATCTACCTGTAGAATCAAGGTAAGCCAACATTACCTGTAGAATCAAGGTAAGCTAACATCTACCTGTAGAATCAAGGTAAGCCAACATTACCTGTAGAATCAAGGTAAGCTAACATCTACCTGTAGAATCAAGGTAAGCTAACATCTACCTGTAGAATCAAGGTAAGCTAACATTACCTGTAGAATCAAGGTAAGCCAACATTACCTGTAGAATCAAGGTAAGCTAACATCTACCTGTAGAATCAAGGTAAGCCAACATTACCTGTAGAATCAAGGTAAGCTAACATCTACCTGTAGAATCAAGGTAAGCTAACATTACCTGTAGAATCAAGGTAAGCCAACATTACCTGTAGAATCTAGGTAAGCTAACATCTACCTGTAGAATCAAGGTAAGCCAACATTACCTGTAGAATCAAGTTAAGCTAAGATTACCTTTAGAATCTAGGTAAGCTAACATCTACCTGTAGAATCAAGGTAAGCCAACATTACCTGTAGAATAAAGGTAAGGTCCCAACATAAGACTCAAGTACAGTTTACAACATGGCACAACATGACACAAAAACATAAACTATAAGTTATGAGATTATCTCCTGCTTCCCCTGCTGTAAATACAAGAAGAAATAATAGCCGAGGTGTGAACATCATCTCACTCATTACCATATTGGGCTCTTCTGTCTGGGAATCATTGGCTGTCCCACCTGTCAACAACCACTGTTTAGAGGGGACAATGCTTGGCTAATGGGCAGACAAACAAATCAGATTCACAGCCCTCGAACATGTTCTTCGTCTCCAAGTTAGTTTGTCTTCCAATTCAGCAGTCAATGATTACCCACATAACACAGAGACAATGTCAACGTTCCACCCATGATATCAACTACGACGTCTGGATAGAGATTATTATACGATCATGTGTGTCATACTGATTTTATGAAACGAGTGTCAGAATTCTTGTATTTCCCGTGGGAGAGAGAGGGTAAAACATGAATTCTTACACAAGGTTTCGTAAAATCAGTCAACAATCTTCAACTTTGACATTGTTTCTAGTCTGACATCATTCGTCACAATAAAATTCCAATGATGTCAACAATGCCGTCCGGATGATGGAAACAATACACTGGTGCACGATAATAATATATTAAAATAATAACATGTATAACATACATGAGGGCAAAGAATAGGGTTAATACAAAGATTGCATTTTCCAAAGAATATCAGAATGTACGTTACCCTGAAAAATATAAAGTTTTACAGAAAGATCATGTTTTGACCTGAGTGTGGTTAATAGCAACATTTATCATTTATGTTTTGTCACTGCCACTGTTTTAGACTCTTAATCAAAAGCAATAGATGTAAACATAACATTTTCATCAAAGCTGGGATTGAACTCCAAATCCTGTTCAATAATCTGAAAAATCTCCAGTTTGTGAGATAGAAGGAGTGGTGACCCTTTGAGGAACAACATGGCCACCACTGAAGTGTTGCAAGCTGCTATTAGTATTACTCGATGTTACTGTAACATGTCCATGTTGATTTTTCTCACAAGACTATCGCTCACCAATTTGAAGTACGCTTAGAAAACATTATCTCAAATAAACCACAAAAATATGATGCAGATTGTGAGTGATGCAATGAGCCTGGCTGATGCTAAACTATCATGGCATGTCATTATCACTGAAACGTATGGGTCAAGATCGATCAGTAAAGCTGTTCATTCAGAAATTTCTGGAACTCTTAATAACATGTCCAAATATCTCGTAAATAGCTCGTATTACACAGTTGGCAAACACAATGTATATTTCATCCCAGGAAATTTGAATTGTGAAGCAATGTATGAAACTATGAACTTCAGACTTCTTGGATTGTTCCTGACAAAGAGTGTGACTAGTCATTGTCCAAATACTGTCTCATTGAGCACTAGCTGTACGTCCTCTAGGATCACAGAGATCAGCCAACAGCATGAGGATACCTTTAAAATATAAAGTAGCTCTCGAAACATACATATTTACAGACTAACATCTATTTTCAGAAATGAAAATATTTAACAGAAAAAAAAGTTAAATTATCTTAAAAAAATATAATAAAAAGGAGCCCAGAGACTCTCTTCATTTCAAACTGGAGTAATCTATATTTGCCAACTATTACAGACTTCAATAGCTGTATTACCGGTAGATATATTTGTTTCAGGGTTTTGATGACAGACTAAGTAATTTAGAACAGTTAAGATATTATAAAGAACTTAGGTTTAAGGTCAGAGGAATTATGTCTGCCATATCCACAATGTAACTGAATGGAATAATAATTCTCGGAGACAAGGGCATGATTAGTAACACTTGGATCTGTTAAGGTTACAGCTTTGGGGAAAAAACATTTTGGTTTATACAATGTTAGATAAGCAATGAAAATCTTCTCAACATCTCATCACAGATAAAAACATTTTGGCTTCAAGCAAATTAGGACTTCTTGTTTCCATTGCTGACAGCTTGAAACAAATGCATTATGAAGCAGCTAAAACAAAACTTTCACAGTTGTCCATTTACATGTACACAGCCATTGCAGGTCAAGGACCGACCAAGTACTAAACAGTGGAGGAAGGGAGGGTGTGTGTGGGGGGAGTATGTGTGTGTGGGGGGGAAATTGTTGGTAGCAATTTCAGTCACTGTTTCAAGACTCTGATTCTTTTCCTTCAAAAAGGAGAAGCTAGACACTTTTCTTCAGGACGTTGATCATGTCCAGTGTTAAACTGGAAGCAAAATTAATATTGACAGAATATTCTGGAATTATTAATATCCCAGTCCCCCTCCCAGAATATGACATGGTCGGCCTTAACAAACAAGTCTTCTATTCCATCAGAAAATATTGCATTTGTGATGAAAGAACAAGTAATACTACCAGGCATACGGATGCATGACAAGCTTACACATGCTTCTAGAAAAATACTGAGGGTTGCTACCATTTCAACACAAATGATTTGATCATTCTCTCCGGAACAAGATGACTTCGTTAACTTGAAAAGATCTCATGATAAATTAATCCACATCATCTGGAGAGAAAGCCCCACAAAATCTGGCTTGTCCTGTGACACAACCTCGTACATTAAGATGACAAAATATTCGGATGAAACATTCACCACATTACCGGGTGATAATCATATTATTTGAAATGGAACAATGTTATTGTCAATCTTGTAAATACAATTGTTCAAAGTATATGTCCTTCCTTCTCGGGAGTCCAGCTTCTGAAATCCAAGATGGCCGACTGTGACGTCTGCTCCAACTATCACCTAAGTGTGGTGTTTCTGTACAAGAAACTCAGGCACATTTCATGGTCCCTTTGATCACCCCATCCACCATTAGCTTTGGGGTCTCTTAGTTTGAAACGGGAGTCCCCTGCCACTGATAGCACATTAGGAAACAGAAACTGTTTGTTTTTAGCAATTAGCTCCTCTACTTTCTTCAGCTTGCCCCCAGGATTGCAGCTCTTGCCCTTCATGTGCATCCCACTGAAAGAGAAATCAACAAATTGTTCACCAAGCTGACAGAAAGCTTCAAGACGTTTATCTCAAACCGACTAATGTTGTTGTTTTTGTTTTTTTGTTTAACGCCACACTAAGCAATATTCCAGCTGTATGGCGGCAGTCTGTATATAATCGGGTTTGACCAGACAATCCAGTGATTACTATCATGAGCATCGATCCACACAAGTGTGATACTGACACTCACCATTCAACGATGTTGAAGATCCAACACTCACCATTCACCGATGTGAAAGATCTGACACTTACCATTCACTGATGTGGAAGATCTGACACTCACCATTCACCGATGTGGAAGATCCGACACTCACCATTCACCGATGTGGAAGATCTGACACTCACCATTCACCGATGTGGAAGATCTGACACTCACCATTCACCGATGTGGAAGATCTAACACTTACCATTCACTGATGTGGAAGATCTGACACTCACCATTCACTGATGTGGAAGATCTGACACTCACCATTCACCGATGTGGAAGATCCGACACTCACCATTCACCGATGTGGAAGATCTGACACTCACCATTCACCGATGTGGAAGATCCGACACTCACCATTCACCCATGTGGAAGATCCGACACTCACCATTCACCGATGTGGAAGATCTGACACTCACCATTCACCGATGTGGAAGATCCGACACTCACCATTCACCGATGTGGAAGATCCGACACTCACCATTCACCGATGTGGAAGATCTGACACTCACCATTCACCGATACAGAAGATCTGACACTCACCATTCACCGAAGTGAAAGATCCGACACTCACCATTCACCGAAGTGAAAGATCCGACACTCACCATTTACCGATGTGAAAGATCTGACGCTCACCATTCACTGATGTGGAAGATCTGACACTCACCATTCACCGATGTGGAAGATCCGACTTGCTTTCATCTTGATGGTCCGGATCTTGTTGGGAATACACTTCATGCTGAGATGCTGGATAGTCCAGTCCCAGTTGTAGTCATCATGGAGACAGAACTCCTGGCAGACAAATAATTTACAATTACAAATGATGCACTCGGGAGGAAGCATAGGTTGCTTAGGTTGCTGGGGACCTATCTAACCCAAAATCCCCATGGAGTGTCAAGCATAGGTTGCTGGGGACTGATCTAACCCAAAATCCCCATGGGATGACAAGCATAGGTTGCTGGGGACTGATCTTACCCAAAATCCCCATGGAGTGTCAAGCATAGGTTGCTGGGGACTTGTCTGACCCAGAATCCCCATGGGGTGACAAGCATAGGTTGCTGGGGACTGATCTGACCCAGAATCTCCATGTAGAGTCAAGTTTAGGTTGTTGGGGACTGATCTGACCCAAAATCCCCATGGGGTGACAAGCCTAGGTTGCTGCGGACCGATCTGACCCAGAATCCCCATGGGGTGACAAGCATAGGTTGCTGGGGACTGGTCTGACCCAGAATCTCCTTGGGGTGATAAGCATAGGTTGCTGGGGACCGATCTAACCCAGAATCCCCATGGAGTGTCAAGCATAGGTTGCTGGGGACTGATCTGAACCAGAATCCCCATGGGGTGACAAGCATAGGTTGTTGGGGACTGATCTGACCCAAAATCCCCATGGGGTGACAAGCCTAGGTTGCTGCGGACCGATCTGACCCAGAATCCCCATGGGGTGACAAGCCTAGGTTGCTGGGGACCGATCTGACCCAGAATCCCCATGGGGTGACAAGCATAGGTTGCTGGGGACCGATCTAACCCAGAATCCCCATGGGGTGACAAGCATAGGTTGCTGGTAAAACAATCTAATCAGGTTTCCCATGGGTCTGGTCTCAGCGAGCATCACTCACTCACCCTAAAGCATTTCTTGATTTCATTCCACAACACCCTGGTGAAGACCATCCCCATGTTGTGTTTGGAGGAAATCCAGTAGGCCCTCTCAACCTGAAAAAATACACCCACAAATAAATAAACATTCAGAAAAGATAAAAACGAGTTTTAGATGCTTTACTGGACACATGGTTTATACAAAACTAAACCAAAATCATCACACTCAAGGGGAATAACTCCTGCAGGACTGTCAAACTCAGTCTGCACAAAAAGTGGTTGAACTTGATCATTGATAAAAATTATTACTGGTATAGAAAAGAAATCAGAACATTCCTCCTGTCTCAGGTTATTTGTAGAAGGCTGAAAATACCTAACAATGATTTAGTCATTAAACTGTGGATTGCATTAAAACAATGTAAAGTTATATCATTGGGTGTGTCTTGACTGAATCACCGGTAGATTCCAAGAAAATGTGTGTACAGCTGATTGCTGTTTCCGGCTTAGTTTACGAGAAAATACACAAGGTAATCTTAATCCCTGGATGTAAAACAATGCCTAGCAGAACAAAAAATACAATTTAAACGGTAAATAAACATGCCTGGTGATTTTTTATCTCAAATTTCGAATTTGTACCGACCAAGTTTCTCATCACCCGTTTGTTCACCGGAATTCGCTGAAGGGGTAGATCTACAGTGTAATTTTTTTCTGCGCTTGACATTCAATTTTTTTCTCCAAAATACTGAATCCGCAAGACTATACTCAAGAAAATACGGTAGTTCAGAAAGTATGGCTTTTCACACTGTTCTTTGAACAACATTGAACTAATTGTTTAAGGTTGCCACAGAATGAGTCAAGTGCCCATAGTGGGGTCAGATACAGCTGTTTGCTACTGTTTCCACCTCCAGATAATCAGGGTCCAGGCGTGGTGTGGCTACTTACTTTGCCGGAGTTGGCCTGGTAGTTCTGCACCTTGTCGTAGTTGCCGATGACCAGCATACGGCAGTCTTTACAGTCCCTGTCAACAGATACAGACCCCTGTCACATGAACCATGACAGATATGTGATGCCATAACTATTGTGATGTCATAATTATTATGATGTCATTTAATGTGATGTCATAACTATTGTGATGTCATATTGAATGTAATGTCTAAACTATTGTGATGCCATATTTAATCTGACGTCATAACTACTGTGATTTCATAATTCATGTGATGTCATAACTATTGTGATGTCATATTTAATGCGATGTCATAACTATTGTGATGTCTTATTTAATATGTTGTCATAACTATTATGATGTCTTATTTAATGTGATGTCATAACTATTGTGATGTCTTATTTAATGTGTTGTCATAACTATTATGATGTCTTTTTTAATGTGATGTCATAACTATTATGATGTCTTATTTAATGTGATGCCATAACTATTGTGATATCTTATTTAATGTGATGTCATAACTATTATGTCATATTTCCTGTGATGTCATAACTATTATGATGTCTTATTTAATGTGATGTCATAACTATTATGATGTCATATTTCATATGATGTCATATTGACATTGACTTTTGACAGAGTGGTATTCCCACAAAGATCAACGGCCGATATCAATAGTAGCACAACTATTGATAGCATGACATTTCACAAACTGCCGACATCCATTTTTGGGGCGAGAACAAACCCCCCATTTTTAAAGGTCCACAGAAATGGAAATTACTTGATTCTGATTGGTCAATCAGAGGTTATTAAATTACAATGGAGCCCTGTGATTGAAACAGTCGATTATTGATAGAATAGTACTTTATTGTCGGTCACTGTAAGAAGGTATTTCAAAATAATTTATAATATGTACAATTCCTAAAGTATGTAAAACAAATGCTTGAGAATATACAGTACCATCATTTTGTTTAAAGGCTGTTGTTGGTGATTCCGTAATTGACACTGACAACACCCTCCAAACACTGGACTCAACCCAACTTCACTCAATATATTTGCTGACACCAAAGAGTTTGAATTTTATTTAGTCAATGAGTGAGTAAGTGAGTGAGTGAATATGGTTTTACACCGCTTTTAGCAATATTCCAGCAATATCACGGCGGGCGACACCAGAAATGGGCATCACACATTGTACCCATATCGGGAATCGAACCCGGGTCTCCATGTGATGAGCGAACACTTAAACCACTAGGCTACCCGACCGCCCCCAAGGTAGAATGAAGACAACCATACTTTTAAATGTAGAGCCAAGTTAATGGTAAATTTATGTTCTGAATCCTCACACAGCGTGTTCGGTTCCAAATTCAAATTTACACAGTTAAATGTACAGAAAACCCAGCTCTACATTGAAAGCATGTTTATCTCCCAGCAGTTACAATGGCTATATCATGGCATGGGGGAGCCGGATTGCCTGGCACCACAGCACAACCACACAGAGGCACAACCCTGAGACATTGATTTATGCAGACGAGGTAGACTATAGCTAATTTACTTTCAAAATGACAGAAGGACAATGACCAAATGATGGGAAATGACTGGACCTTGATAACAGTGCTACTGTATTTAATTCCACCTGTCTCGCACCACGGTGGAAGGGGCTGCCAGACAATTGAATATTCAGATTACAGATATTGGACAGATCTGCGATATTCCCTGATGAGAGGAGCCTTAGCTGCAAAGGACATCAAACTGACTTGATAAGGAGGGGCAGTTTTTGAAATAGCTTTCCAGCTGCCCAACCTCAAATCCCATGTGACCTGGCAGTAAAGCAACACTCCCATGTGATGTTCTCTGTGTTAACAGCGAACTATTTGTCTAAAGTCCCTGCGTCTACGTCCTGTGTCTAGGTCCTACATCTACGTTCTACGTATACGTCCTACGTCTACATCCTATATATGTCCTGCATCTATGTCCAACATCTACGTCCTACACATATGTCCTGCGTCTACGTCCTGCATCTACGTTCTGCATCTACGTCCTGCATCTACGTCCTGCGTCTACGCCCTGCATCTACGTACTGCATCTACGTCCTGCGTCTACATCCTGCGTCTACGTCTGGAATCTACGTCCTGCGTCTACGTCCTGCATCTACGTCCTGCATCTACGCCCTGCGTCTACGCCCTGCGTCTACGTCTTGCGTCTACGTCCTGCGTCTACGTCCTGCGTCTATGTCCTGCGTCTACGTCCTGCGTCTACGTCCTGCATCTACGCCCTGCCTCTATGTCCTGCATCTACGTCCTTCATCTACGCCCTGCATCTACATCCTGCATCTACATACTGCATCTACGCCCTGCATCTACGTCCTGCATCTACGCCCTGCAACTACACTGTGCGTCTACGTACTTGTGAGCAAGGTTCTGCATCATCTGCAGGATGGTGAGGACGTCCTCTGTGACGTAGTAGTCATCCTCCAGCAGCAGCACCATCCCCTCGTAGTCCTTCATCACATCCAGGTCCTCAAACACGTGGTGAAGCTGTAACACAAAGCATCCAATCAAACATCAGCAACAAAGTGAATTTGTTCGTCTATCAATGTCACATACAAGTTGCCATCTACCTAATGGTGAAAGTGCTAGTCCACAAGGAAATGTCACTAGTCCTGCTAGAGTTGCCATCTACCTAATGGTAAAAGTGGTAGTCCACAAGGAAATGTCACTAGTCCTGCTAGAGTTGCCATCTACCTAATGGTAAAAGTGGTAGTCCACAAGGAAATGTCACTAGTCCTGCTAGAGTTGCCATCTACCTAATGGTAAAAGTGGTAGTCCACAAGGAAATGTCACTAGTCCTGCTACAAAGTTGCCATCTACCCAATGGTAAAAGTGGTAGTCCACAAGGAAATGTCACTAGTCCTGCTACAGAGCTGCGATCTACCCAATGGTAAAAGTGGTAGTCCACAAAGAAATGTCTCTAGTCCTTTCTCAATTTCAATACCACAATAGTTTCAGGCAAGAAGAGGTATGTTTCAAACTAGCTATGCAGTAAGAGTCACTGAGTATAAAATCTAATAAAAAGAAGCAGACATGTTTGACACAACAGGAAATAGAGAAGCCCAGACAGCCATCATCCAGATGGTCCTTATCTGTTGAACATATAGATCATCCATTTATCAGGTAAATGTGGACACGTTTCTCTGTCTGTTGCTCACAATGTATAGATTCGATTGTGGAATTGATTTGTCCAGGGAGACAGTCATCTATCGCCACATGAACTCCGGATGGATGATTGTAAGGTCTTGTCTACAATGAAGTAATGGAATGTTACGTCTGGAGAGACAGTGTTGTTCTGTACTCCTTTATACTGTTGTTTCCTTTATTCCACAGTGTGAAACACACGTAACAACCCCAGGCCATAACTGTAATCTATTTTACTGACCATAAAAAAAGTCAAACAGTCAGAGTTTCTGGGTTAGAATGGTTCCCAAAGGTGGTCAGACGAGGAGTGAGTAAATATGGTTTTACGACGCTTTTAGCAACATTCCAGCAATATCACGGCGGGGACACAGAAATGAGCTTCACACATTATACCCATGTCGGAAATTGAACTCGGGTCTTCAGTGTGATGAGTGAACGCTTTAACCACTAGGCTACCCGACTGCCCGGTCAGAAGGGGAGACTCAATGTTATAATGACGTAGTGACTTGGTAGACTGTGTGTCATTGTGGGTCAATGTGAGACAATGCTCATGACATCAACCATTTGATTGTCTGGCCCCGAGTTGATTCTATCCAGTCTGCCATCATATATCTGGAATACAACAAAGAATACACCCATTCTTCCAGTTTCACTATCTGTATGTCCCTGGCAAACACCCTAGCTTGTATTCAGGGGAATAGAAAATAAGTGCTTTTCAGATGTGTAATTTATTTTTGCAGAATCAGCAGAATCAACCAATATCAAAAAAGTGTTGCCTGAATATGATGACCTTAGCTTGTATTCAGTGGAATAAAAAATAAGAGCTTTTCAGATTTATTCCACCTTGGAGGTTTTAGCAGAATCAGCAGAATGTGTCTGTAGACATCAAATATGTAAATGTCAAACTGGAAACAAAACAAGCCCACATGCACACAATGACCATCTCAAGTGAGGTCTCGATTCCATCTCGGCCCCCTAGGGGTGGGTCCCGTCCCGTGAGCAGAACGAAAACAACATTCACAAAAGAATTACCAATTTTACACATCAATTTTAATTTGTCACTTCAATTTTTTTGGTCTCTGTGTTCACACCAAGCTTGATCAACAAAGAAGCGGATGTGTCAGATGCAGCCAGGGCAATTGACTGTGTGCACAGGCTAACCCAATTGTGTTAAAGACCAACAGTGTTTGTGGAGACGAGAATTACCACTGAAAATTACCAATGAATATTTCACTCAGCAATTACTACAGAGAAGAAACCATCAAACAGGTTTGGAGGCTTTGTTGAAAAAAAACCCCAACTGACCTACATGCATGGAGGTGCAGGTAAAGAAGACTGTTGTTCTTATGTGAGTGAGTGAGTGAGTGAGTGAGTGAGTGAGTGAGTGTGAGTGAGTGAGTGAGTGAGTGAGTGAGTGAGTGAGTGAGTGAGTGAGAGTGAGTGCACACGCAGGTGGGGATGTGAGTGAGCGCAGGCAGGAGTCAGTGTGTGTGAGAGTGCACACGCAGGTGGGAATGTGAGTGAGTGAGTGAGTGCATGCACAGGTGGGTGTTTGAGTAAGTGAGTGCCCGCCCAGACAGGGATGTGAGTGAGTGAGGGGGCACCTGCGCAGGTGGGTGTTTGAGTGAGTGAGTGCACCCGCAGGTGGGGATGTCAGTGAGTGAGTGTGAGTGAGGGTGTATGAGTGAGTGAGTGAGTGAGTGTGCATGTATGCGTCAGTGAGTGGGTGGTTGTTTGAGTGAGTGAGTGGGTAACTGAGAGTGTGCATGCGGGTGAGAGTGAGTGAGTATATGCAACTAACTTTTCAGCTTAATGCCAGATGGAAGCTGAAAGTGGAACCCACTTATATGTGGCTTCTTAGGTTCTTTCTCCCTTGTAGCTATATTGGACTTATTATTTCTGACCTGAACATTTCTTAATACAATTCCTAAAAAATATTTATATTCTAAGGCCCCAAAGTTGAACGTAACAGAACCCTCTTAATATCTAACAGTGCCTTCAGACACAGTGACATCACTTCCACAACATACAAAGGTTCGCCTTCGATGTGAGACTTGAAGGTGGGATCCCCACAATTGATACAAACATAGAGGGGGCACAGGTGGCAGGCGCCGCGATTCGCTGTGCAGAGTTGCGTCCCTTGGGCACACCAGAAACCTATGATTGTTGGTTCGAATCCCTGTTCGCCCCGATAATGTTTCTAGGTTTGTCAGCACCAATCCCATGCTCGTGTGTTTCACCGAAGTGGTAAACGTCTTAGACCTGCATCACTTCAGCTTTCCTCCCACATTAAGCTGACACGCCGTGATATCACTGGAATAATGTTAAAAGCGGCGTTAAACCCAACTCACTCACTCACTAGTTGTAATCAGCATGACACATTAACACTACTGGAAGAGAATAACACTGTACAGAAGCACCTCACAATCAACACTGGCGTTAAACCCAACTCACTCACTCACTCACAAACACAGAACCAGGACAATATTTGGGGTCCTGCTTTGTGGCTGGTTTCTTCCTACAACCCGTGTCTATCTCTATCAGTAATCCCAACCAGGTAGCGGTACCAGCCTACCACACCAACATTCCCTCGGAGACCTGAAGGTAACAAGCCCGCTTTCTATACTGTAAATCTGGTAGGTTGGTTGGTTGGTTTGTTGTTAAACGCCGCACTCAGCAATATTTCAGCTATAGGACGGTGGTCTGTAAATAATCGAGTCTGGACCAGACAATCCAGTGATTAATATCATGACTTTAAATCTGGAAATAAATGCGTCTCCAAATGCTGCCCCCACCCCTTCCCCAGTGGAATGATACATATAAGCCTGCAACCTCGGGGTATCGTGGTACTTGTCATGCACCCTAAACGGAACAAAATGCACTCACTAACCTTTATGATTATTCGTGTTCTCTATATCAGATGTCATTTATTTGATCTAACAATGCATATTTTACTGATAAAAGTTCATTATTTACGTTAGTAGCTCCGAGTAAAAGCCGGGCCTCGCGCTCAGTTTGACAAGGGAGAGAACTCCATTGTATCACGGTACAGAGAAAAGTTGTGTATGGAGGAAATCACAAATGCCGCGATACGATGAATGCCACGGTACCACAGGGTCCGAGTATACTACCATAATCAACCTTACTTAATCCAATCAAACAGCAAATAACACCGCTTATTAGCCTTGAGTAGAGCACTTCCGTAAAAACAACAAACAGTGTTTTCCTAAAAACAACACAGTTTATATGTTTACTCTGTTGCCTGGCATTAAGGAAGTTCAAAGGCAATAAAATAACTGAACCAACAACAGTTCACTGATTGGTATGCGGTGAAGGTGTCAACAAGCTTGACACAAGTGGGTAGAACTCTTGACCCCGGCAGCGATAACTCACCGGATGCCCATTGTGTAATTCCTATTCTTTGAATGACATTGTTATGTACTTGTTACAACTGCTGCTCAATAAACCGTGTTTGAGTTTATATATTCAATTTGGCATTTCCGCGATCCAAAGTGTGCAGTGAGTCCGTCTTATTGTTGATAGTCATTTTGGAGACATAAATGCGAAGTTAATTAATGCGGTCAAGACCACTCACATTTTTCACATTTAATCCATGCTCGAATTTCAAGATTTTTTTTAGTATTTGCCGCACTAGAAAATTTGTTCTGTTTAAGACGCAACGTGGCTGATATTTACAAACAAAATACATTTTCTGTTTATATATATATTGTTCATTGAATGCAATTGTGTATCAACTGGAGGTGTAATGATACGGTGTGGTTGCGATATGATACGCATCCTGATACCATGGGTGCGATACGATTTGTATTCTGATACAGTACTGTTATTTCACAAGCTCATATTCTTTCCTTCTGCAGATGAATCACAACCTTGAAATATTTGTTCAGAGATCAAAGATGGGATATTGTAGGGCAGGAATATATTGGCTGGAGGGCTCAATGTCAATGTTATGCTTTTTATGTTCAACCCTGGCATACTCAAGTATCTGCATAAGCTGGTGGTTGAACAGCTTCTGTTATTAGTCACATGTTATTAATTTTAAGTAATATATGTTTCCTTGAATTATCATGTCATAACATTATAAGGGTAACGCTATTTGTCAGGGCATTATCATTTGCAGAAGCCTGAGGTCTTCCATTCACTGCCCGACGAAGGAGGGCAGCTGAAAAGATCGAGGGCTTCTGCAAATGCTAATGCCCTGAAAAATAGCATTACCGTTATTATAGCTAAAATGGATGGAATTTGTTATCAAATAAAAAGAAACAACAATATGGGTTTTGAAACATTTACTCTAATCAACACGAATGTCACTGACCCATTTT